AATCCTTTGTACATAGTCAAGGAAAGGCGGGAGCCACCTCCATTCGCACTACGCAACACGCGATCACATGCCCTTCATTTTCACCATCTTGATTCGTTGCTGCCGCTTCCGGTTCTCCCGTTTCTGCTCTCTCTCCTGCAAAAATGACGGATAGAGATAACGAAAGGAACGAAGGCTAAAACCAAGGTTTAAGAAAATCCTCACCTCAAGTCGTCGAGCCTTTTCAGGGTCCTCTTCTGTCATTATGCGCTCTTTCACGGCTCTACGTTGCTCATCGCGGCGGTTTTGTGCCGCCTCCTGTCGAGCTGCTTGGACCGACTTGAGAAGTGTCTCACTGACCTTTGCTCGCGCACGATCAGACTTTGCCTTGGCCTGTTAGATATTCAGTGTCAGTTACTTATTTGTATTTAAGTAGCAACCTAAATCAAACACAAGGGAACAAACCTCTTTTCCAAGTCGCAATTTGCGAGTCTTTTCGATCAGGTAAAAAACAAAATTAAAGAGCGGTCTCATACCATCCACATCTTTCTCATCCACTAAAAAACAAACCAATTTGAGATCAATAGTAAAGCTGAGTAGCATGAAAAGGACATCCAAGTTTCTCACAAATGAAGGAGAAAATGAGGACTTTCTGAACATCTTCAGGTTTCGGTGGTTTAAGATCTCTGGAAAGGGAGAAGAAAGGCTGATGAAGAGCACACCAGGCTGGCATTTGAACAGCTATAAACCAAGAACCGAGAGCTGCCAAAGTACAACTCCGCCTAACCTACCGCAAGTTGGCCTTAGCAATGGTCGCTGCACGGAACCCATCCAGCAGTATTTTTGCACCTCTTTATGCCAGTAATAAAACCACACCAGTAGTACGGACAAAAACGCCATAACTACCCCAGTACAGCCTATGCAAAAGTGACTTTCATTTAAGGAAAGGAAAGCTTGGCACAAGGAATCCTCTCCAAATCCACACAAAACGTGGATTCCTACCACTCCTCTAAATAAGCAACCTTTTAGCTCTAATTTAATCCCAGTGTACCTCAACACTGACCTGATTTCCTCGTCCAAAGTGGGTAGGTTTAGTTGGAGGCCTTACGGTAATGACAACCTCTTTGGAACTTAATAATGTCTGCAGGACTGATGATTTCACTCATGCAACCAATTTCGAGCTTTCACAAATAAAAATACTGACTTACTCCATGGAAGCTTTGGGACCTGAATACTGATCCGAAATGTAGATGTATTCGATGGCGCTTTGGTGATCGTTGATGACTTTTAGAACCTACAAGTGCAAGCAAAGGACTGAAAGATTCAACATTGGAAAGGAACTAAGCAACTCCCACCCATCAATCGCTTTGTCCACCTGATCACATGATGGACACATTCATCCGTCCATTTTTAATCCACATATCAAGTCATCAATGCACCAACTCGGCACAGCTCGCTTTACTCGCGTATTCCTCTCAGGTTTATTCACTCATCCAACGTAGCTTAACAAGTTTCTAATCAGTCGCAGGAAAAGGTGAAGCACTGATACACCTCTTAACAATACCGACTGAATTATATCGTCTTTCATCGTTGCAGTCTAGATCACACCTTATCAATGAAAATACCGCAGGCGCATGATGTGAGGACTAGAGCAAGAAAAGCAAAACAACTGCACGCATGTGGTGGTGATAACAAGGCTGGTAAGTACCTTTAATCATGCATGATATTGCAAACTTAGCATGAAAGTTTAAGGCATCTTTTAAGATGTACTGTTTGATTCAAGATTGCTGCTGTAGCCTCCCCGATCTCACTCAATACGATCATCCCTTCCGGCAGACCACTGAACCTCTGTCCTCTTCTATCCACTGGATACGTAGCCAAATCAAAGTGGTCCTTTGTTAATGCCGTTATCGATCTCTTCACTCCCACCGCCATCACCCAAGTGTCCATTTCCCCATCTTCAAGAACCACCTTCACCACCACTCGATCGTCCGAGGCAATGGATGCGGCACTGACACCTGACTTTGGACGATGAAGCCAGTAGAGAAGGAGGGATGGTAGATCCTGACGCTTCATTAGACGCAGTTCCACCATCATACCGGTACAAGCCACCCGACCAGAACACCACAGGGTATAGAGACTATCAGATTCACGAATAAGGCGCTTGCTAGAAGCGGATTTCTCCTCACTCTCCTTCCCCGTATCCTTTTCCTCGTTACCGGCTGGGGTTGCCGAAGAGTCGTCGCCAACCAAGGAGAAGTTGGCGGAGAGTAGATCCTCATGTGCTGCAAACCAAGCTGCAGCTATGCGTGAATTTGCAGCCCGACCATGCATGTAGTTCACCAGGTAAAGCAATATGAAAGCCAGAAAGAACATTTCAAAGATGTAATGGTCCAGTGAACGAAAAGTCGGTGGTACCTGCGAGGAGAAAAAACAAGTAGGAGAACCTTTGAATCTCAATATTCATCCAATAAGTCAATGCCACCATGCATATAAAACTCAAACGCTCGGGAAAATCGTGGGTAAAGGGTCAATGCACTTCTTAAAGACTCTGCTACTGATGAGTTAGTGAATAGC